TTCCATAAAGAGTTTAGAAAGCAAGGAGGTCCACTCTGAACCTCATGACTCAATGGGAGGGTCTTCCTTACCCTTTGCATCTGCAGCCTCTGTGCACCGTTCTAACTCAAATTTTCCTTTTAATGTTTCTTCTGTGCAGTAATTAATAAGGTAAACCTTGCCACCAAACTTACCGAACCTTGGTAGACCCCTGTTAAGCTCTGTAAAATTCCATCGAATTTAACATCTGTCAAATTATTATTTTACCTCAAGAAAACATATTGCTGCTTCTCTCTTTTGAGTGAGGTGCCTTCCACTCACCCACACCTACCCACTAACACTGTTAGATGCTATTCCTGTGCTGGTTTGCCATATGTTGCAGCAGCAAGACAAAAATCACGTCTCTAACAGCTTACAGTCTGTCCTAAACTTATTAAGTTTCCACTGATTTGTGTTTGGGTCTTGTCAGCTCAAAATATTTGCTGCTAAGTATAGCTCCCTTCTCCTGAGCAAACAAGCTGGGTTTCTTTTTTTTCTGCAGCCTCCCTTCCTAATTTCAACAGCTATTTGGAACTCGGGGTGTGGTCACCGAGACAAACATACAGGCACTGTCATTGCTTGTTTGTAGATTTGTTGGTGTTGCCAGTGAACTTTTCCCCCAACAACAACCTCATATTGAAACGAATCCTTGATCGGCGAGCCTTGCTCTCCTCCTGTCTTTTAGGAAGCACGTAATAAATCTGAATAAATTCATTTATTTATGAATTCTGAACTTGACCAGCTTCCACGAGCACAAGGTGAAAAGTGTGAAATTACACTCCTCTGTACTGGAGACAGGAGCTCTACCAGTGGGGACATTTACTCCTATGGCTACTAGAGGATCAAATGCTACTCTCCTTTAGGGGCTTCTGACAGGGGAACAAGTTTTAAATTCTGGCAGATTTACAAATCATTTCATCTCCTAGACTTGTTCCCTCACAAAGGGCCCAGTGAGGGAAAGCCTGTGCAATGGCTTCAGTTTTGATAGCTTTTGTCACCAGGTGCTGGTCCCACTGCTTCTAAAAGCAACAGAATCTGCAAAATATTTCTCAGATACATACATGTATGTGTGTGTGTGTGTGTGTGTACATATACATACGTATGTAGCCTTTATACGTGTTTTCTAATACGTGTATTTCTGTATAAAAATGTACACACTGAGGTAATATTATTTGCTTAAAGAACATACTTTTACTTCCCTCGGTTAAACTGAAAACACCCAACTGTCAAATCATCCCATTTAATTAAAACAGAGGGTTTGTTTTTTTTTTTTTTTCATATGATGCCTCTTAAGGAGTTATGAAAGAATAAGCAGCTCTCAGGGGGGGAAAGGATTCTTAGGGCTAATCTCATTTGAACCAGGCTCTCTTGATGTTTGATACTTCACCCATATTCTCAAATAGGCTTGAATTATGTTTGAAGAAAATGCTAATTCACGCATGAGCTGTTGTCTCTTCCGTCATTGCAGAAAACAAGGATGTTGGCCAAACTAGACACATTTTTTTCCCCCAGAATTAGGTGCCAAGTCCCTAATCATCATAGAGCAGCATCTTGGTCTTACGGGAAGAGAAGTAGCCACAACTGTGTGACTTCTGTTTTCCAGTTTCCAGCACTGTTGCTTTCCTGGTGTGGCTGTCCTCCGGACAGGTATAATAGGATAGCAGTGGGGCACTTAGATTAATTAGTGGCTGTAAAGCATGTGGAGCTCTTTGGTTAAGTGGTTCAAAGGAAACTCCTGTTCTAAGTGACCCCTATTGTTCTTACCTGGGTGTCCAATTGCTGTGCGGGCAGACTGCTTGTCTAGAGTGTTAATTACCACGTGTCCCTTAATCATGAAGGTTTGTAATCCCATTTCAGTTTGGAAATCCACATGCCGCAAGGCCCAATTAAGATCTCTGATATCATCACCTGCTAGTCAATACACAGCTATTAGCCATCCATAACTATTACCAATGAATTGCTGTGCAGGCGTGCCAGGACAAGTTTTGCCAAACCATACTGGAAGATAGTTTAGCAAGGCGAGTGAAAATAATACCTATTTAATTTGACAGCATTGGAAAGGCTCACATCACAACAAGTATTTTTATTTAGTTTAAAATTTGCCTTGCAGAGGTTTTCGGTATAAATCTTCATTTTTATTAGGATCCCAAAAGATTTCAGATGGGTTTTCTTCCAGTTCTAATTCCTTTTTTTGTTGATTTCACACCAGCCTTCTAGTTCGCTGTAACTCTGTAATTCCCCTCTCAAAGGCTATCATCACAGTTTCTAAATAATGAGTGCTATAGCATCTGTAGCTATGGAATTTATAACTTTATTTTCACTTACTGCATCTTTACATTACCAAAGACTGTCAGGAAGGAGCCGCTATTCTGTAAAACACAGCATGTTACAGAATAGATAAATTGTGTTTCCTCAAAATACTGCAAATGTTTCTCGTTTCTTCCCAGACATACACACTTCCCTTAATCACAAATAAATGCCACATCGAACAAAAATTATTCCTTGCATAAGTGAAAAAAAAACCCACAATTTTATTTCTAGACCTTACCACGACTCCTTGTTTGACCACAACATTTGATTATTCCGCCAGGTCCTGACAGCATAGGGAGCAGACTAATTTTCCCTGTCTAAAACCCCAAAGCTGGTGAGTGCATCAGTTATAGTAAGGATTCTTGGGGTTTTATTTGTTTTTTTTTTTTTGCACGATGCTGTTGTGTCTGTTTTACTCAGCTCTTTGCAACAGATCAGTTAATTATAGAGGAACAAAGATGGGGCAGGGATCCTTCTCTCCCACTGTAGAAAATGAGTCCTGCTGCTGCAAGGCTGCAGAGAAAGCGCTGTTCAGCCATGCTCCTGTGACGGATTTTCCCCCCCTCAAATTACGCGATATATGAATGACAGTTTTGCAGAGTGTTCTATTAGGTTTTAATTAGTAAAGGGAAGGCAATGTATGTGTTCAAGTAGATGTCAGAATTAGCATTTTTAGAATTGTCATGCTATGTGGTTACAAAATCAATCTTTTTTTGCCTTTTAGGTAAGCCAAAACATATTCTGCTATGTGGCTTAATACAACAATCGGAGGAAGAACAACATCCATACTCCACCTCTGTGATGGCAAGATGCACTTCAGAATGGGGGGGGAGGAAAAAGCAGCTACTGCCAAGGGCATTTTGATAACAGAGACTGGAGCTCAGAGCCTCATCCTATAAACATCGCTTAGATGATGCCACTGCAGAGTCAGCTTGAAGTCAACTCCAGTAACAGTAACCAGTGGTGTTCAAGCTGGACCAGGTCCACAGCTCTTGCTTCAGAGCCTAAAACTGGTTGTATGCCTCATACAGAAATCAGTCACCATGCCAGTTCATTCACCTCGCAGGGACGCTGTGTTTAAGGGCGCTCAGGTGTATCTGACAGTACCTACAAGAGCACTCACCCGTCTCAGGAATATCCCGAGGAAAAGTTGTGCATGTTTAGGTAAATCCAAGAGAGCTTGTCATCAAAATAAACTTGAAGAAATTGTTGGCCATCATCACTGGCACAGCAGACAGGAACTGTGCCTAGAAATAGAAATCGGCATAGCAACATTGCTGAGTGTTTTGTAGAGAAGGCGGCTTATTTTTCCAGACTGTGACATGTAATAAACATTTTCTGTTTGTTGAGACTGTGGAACCTCACTAGATCAAGCTGAATGCTAATCTGCTTGAGTCGCCACCACAGACTTTTGTCTCCAGTATGTACACAGCACGAGCTGCTGTGGTTTCGTTGGTTTTGTCCTATGGCATTCGTTCCTTTGTGTTTGGCCACAAAAAATAGAACATGGAACGCGTTGAAACAGCCCCACAAATCCTCCAGACAATGACTTATTTTGTGAGATCCTGTTTTATCTTGTCATTCGGGCTATGTTAAGCTGCAGGCTGAGAAGCCCTTTGATGCAACCTCTGACTTGCAATCTGCTAGGAGCTTGATAGGCACCAGCGCAGCTTATATACACTTTATATATTAGGCGCCTTATATATTAAGGCGTTAGCCGTCTCCTACCTGAGGCATCAGACCCCGATTGGATTCACACTCCACACAAATGGGCTGTGACTATAAAGAGCAGCTTGGAAGTGCACGTCCTAAAAAGTGTGAAAACACCAGACTGTAAATAAATTTGACTCTTTAGGCTTTTAAATCCAGATGGGCGTCTTGAACCCTCACGAGTCAGCATGAGGAGAAAGGTCCCACACAGGCACCCGGGAGTTACGCCCATGGGAGCCGAGCTACCTCAGACCACCCACGCCCCTCCTCGGGGCAGCAGGTCAGCGTTTATCTTTATTACACCGCAAGAGAGCTGTGGGGACGGGAGGTGTTTGTCGCCGGCTCAAGCGGAGCCCGGCGGCCATTGCCGCGAAGCCGAGCGTCGGCTGGCACCCCGCGCGCCCGGCCCTGTCACGGTTGCTAAGGCCCGGAGCTGTAGGCGGGCCGGAGGTAGAGCTCGCCCGGCCAATCCGGAGAGACTCGTCTTTGGTCAGCGACCAATCAGCGAGCAAAAACACCCCCGCGGGGCGGGGAAGGGGAGGAGAGAAGCCGCGCCGCCGGCCAATCAGCGGCTGGGGGGCGCGGGCCAATCAGGGCAGGGGAGGGTTTGGGCGGACTTTTTAAAATGCGTCAGGCGCCACCGCGGCTCCGCGCTCGCGTCCCTTTAAAGGAGCGACGCGGCAGATGGGTTTGTTCCTCCGCCGGTGCCGAGCGCTCTCTGCGGGCGAGCGCGGCTCCCTCCTCCACCCCCGCTTCCCGCCGGGCGGGAGTGCCGCGGGACGGTCGCGTCGCGTCGCGTCGTGTCGTCATCTCCCCTAGCCCTCTCGGGGCGCCTACAGAGGGTGGGCGGCTGGGGAGGGACTATTTTACTTTCCCGGGGCGCCTCACCGGCCGGGCCTAGCAGGGAGCGCTCCGCGCGGGGCCATCTGCGGGCCGCCAGAACAAAAACAAGGGGGCGGGGCCGCGCCGCCTCCATTTTGGTGCGGGGCTCGGGGCGGTGGCTGAGGGCCGGGGATGGTGCCGCTGCCTCGGGCAGCGCCGTGACTCGCCGGGGGAGGCGGGCGGGGCCGGGGGCGCAGGCGGCCCTGCCTGGATGCGGGGCCAGCGGCGGAGCCCACCCGCGTCCGTGCGGTGACGGGAGCCGGGCTCGCCTCCACCCCCCGCCTGCCCGCCGCAGAGGAAGCTGAGCGGTGAAGGCCGCGGGGGGTGGCCCGGGACCCCCTCACCACCTCCCCCGGTGAGTGTGCCGGCACGGCCGGGCGCGCCCTCTCCCTGAGGCGGCTCCTTTTGTTCTCCTCGCCACTGCTGGAGGCGGGGGGGGGGGGGTGGGGGGTGCGCCCGGCCGCCTTTGTCCGGCGGGAGGGAGAGCTGCCGGTGTTTGATGAGGTGTGTCTGCTGTGAAGGGGAAGGAGGATCCGAAGGCAGGGGAGAAGATGAGCGGCGAGGCGCTGTGGCTTTTCAAGCAGCTGAATCTCCACCTGGAGCAGGAGGGGAGGTTTCAGCCCCGCGAGAAGGGGCTCAGCCTCATCGAGTGCGCCGCCGAGGTGAGGGGGGAGCCGGGCTGGGGTGGGCGCGGAGGGAGGGAAGGGCAGGAAATGCGCATTTTTTTAAAAAAATAAAGCTCCGAGCTACAAGGGAGGTGTACGTTAACTTCTAAAAGTTAATTCTCTCGTCTATAACCGACAGTTTGTCTTTTGATTTAACATCTGTAGTTACTAACATACTTCGAGTGAACGCAGAACCAAGAGAAGTGTTTCATTTTCATCTTGGGAGCTTCCTAGCACTGTGTCGTACCACTGAAGGAAAGCTGGAATGTCAAATAGTCAATTAAGAAATTGGGAAATGACCAGCAGCTTTTCATTAGCAAGACCTGGGGGAGCGAACCTAGTATTTAACAGCAAAAAAATAAGCATAAACATTTCCATGTTAACGACCAGAGCGATCCTCCCAGAGTTTAGGGCAGGCTTACATTCCTTCAGATTTTTGTGAGGTTTTTTGGAAGAGGCCTTAACGTTTAACAGAAAAAATACCCGAGATCAGTCTCTGTTTTGAAAACAGAAATGTTGTCACTGAAATGCTGACATGCAGGCAAAGAGGAGAATAAGCTGAGTTTCGTCATCTCGGTTTCCGTAAGGTCAGGAGTCAGTATGTAGTCACGAATTTGATAACTATTGTCTTAAAATAACAAGTGCGTACTTGGAAATGTGGTTGTGCTGGGTATTGCACCAGTGAGACTCAGGAGCTGGCTGTAATACATGCACCTGGGGTGTGTTTTGAGTCTCAAGTATCTAAATTAATTTTTTTTAAGTGAAGAGAAATAAAGTATTTAAGGAACAAAAATAATTCCTCCCCTTTGATCTAAGTAAATGATGACTTACAAAGTGAGTGGTCAGTCATCACTGCTGCCACTGAATAATTCTGACTTTGCTTCTCTTGCCCTAGCATGAAAATACTCTGTGTCCAAGACAAAGGAATGCCAAGGTGGAAGATCTTTGGAGTCTGACCAACTTTTTTGGTTTTGCAACTGAAACGTTTGTTTTGGCTGTTAACATTCTGGACAGATTCTTGGCTCTTATGAAGGTATTTTGGGGGGAGAGGACCTGCCATAGTGTCAGCTGGGAATATGTGAGCTTCCTATGAACTTTCTTGTCTGACACAAATGGGAAGGTTGTGATCTAGGGCATAACTGTGACTATTTACTTATTCTATGCTAGCAACACTTCCGAAGTCCTCCTTTGTAAGCCTGGCATTGGGTACAGTTCTTTTCATCTCTAAAGGCAAGTAGCAGTGTGGTTTATTTCCTTTAATAGTCTGTAGCCTTCAGGAAGTAAATGTAGAAGGCAAAGAAAGGAGGAATTAGAAAGGAATAAAATTTAGTGTGTTACAGACTGTTTCTAGGTACTGTGTTAAAGCTTAGCTGAGCCCTGGAACTACTACCAAATTATCATTTCCTGGATGTTTTTCTTTTTGTGTTTGTGCTGCTTCATGGCAGGTAATTTGAACCTAAACCTGTTTGACATTATTAAGTTCGCATAAAAACTAAAGTTGCATCAGTTCACTGGTTGGCCTGACCTTGAGGTTGCACAAAACGTTATGCTGGTATACAGGAGAGAATAGCAGAGGTAAGAACAAGTTGTGGAGGGATAGGACTGCCTAGAACAGGCTCAGGCTGGATTTGTATAGGCTTTAAATGAGGGTAAGCGAGCACTGCCGCTTGGAGAAGCGAGGTATTGCAGTTCTCACTGCAGTTTTTGTTGCGTAGTGATGTGGAACAATTTCAATAGAGGGTGCTCAGCTGTTGAATTTCACTTCCTCTAACTTAGCTATGACTGACTGATACTGTTTTATTGGCTCTGTTACACTGAAACTTAAGTGATGAAACTAGTTATGACTAGGTGAAGTGTATGAGTTGACTGACATCAGGTCTAGCTGAGATAAGCAAATCTCTTTCTACTGAACTGTGAATATTCAGAACAGATCACCTAGGGCTGGGTGAGCTGTTGGCGCTGTTGTTTGATAAGCATGGTGTTTATGGGGGGAGGGGAGAAAGTATTCATACTGCTTCCTCTTATTTTTAGGTGAAACCGAAGCATTTATCTTGCATTGGAGTTTGTTGTTTCCAGCTGGCTGCCCGAGTAGTTGAAGAAGAATGCAATATTCCATCTGCCCATGAGATCATCCGGATCAGCCAATGTAAATGCACTGTGTCTGACCTGAAACGGATGGAAAAGATAATTTCAGAAAAGTTGCACTTTGAATTTAAAGCTACTACTGCCTTAACCTTCTTGCACTTGTACCATACTATTGTACTCTGCCATACCTCAGAAAGGTGAGTTGAGTTGCATGTTGGATAAGCCCTTTTTCTCTTTGACTCTTAAATGATTATGGCGTTGGCTCTAGACGAGGCAGCGCCTTAGTTTCTACTTCCTAACAAGTGCTTTTTGACACACATGCTTTTCTCTTGGGTGTCTTACAGGAAAGAAGTATTGAATCTCGACAAATTGGAAGCACAGCTAAAAGCTTGTAACTGTCGCCTAGTCTTTTCTAAAGCAAAAGTAAGTAGAAGTAGCTTTCTTTGACTTCTGTGGAGGTTTTGATTCATGTTATGTTGAGTGGTGGTTTTTTTTGTCCTTCTAGCCATCTGTCTTGGCCTTGTGCCTTCTCACTCTAGAAGTTCAGACTTTGAAATCTGTTGAGCTGTTTGAGATCCTTCTGCGTGTTCAGAAGCATTCCAAGGTAGGTATTTTCTGCGGATTGTTTTTAACATTGCTGGGACTGGCACAGTTAATGATGTGCAGTGTTACATTTAAGGGACCCCTGCTGTCAGCGTACAATGTTTACAGGTACTGTTTGGCATCAGCTGAAATAAGCAGTGCAGTGGGTCTTTAGGTGTCTGTGTGCAACTCTTGTAACGAATATGGTTTCATTGGTAGAATGCCAGATGCAAAAAACTGCTGCTTAGGAAATGAGGTCGGGTAGTCATTTTGTACTGGCACATCTTGGCAGCTGCCTGGCTGGTTTAAAAAAAACTAGATTAAATGTGTAAAATAGGAAGAAATGCTGATCTAATGCCTACACAATACATACTTTAACGAGCAGCTGATTGAACTTGTACAGTTCTAGCTGTATGTTCTAGAGAAGCTTCCTGTTGGTTTGTAGGACTGCAATGACTGCTGGGCTGGTTATTCTTTTTGCCTGAATAACTACCATAGGATTTACAGCTTCTAACTTCATGCTGTATCAGCTGATGGTCTAGAACAAGATTTTTGCTCATTGTCAAATTGAACTAACCCAGTTTCTTGAGGACTGGAAATAGTTCCTTAAAGTATGAGATTATTCTATTTTAGAATGGAATTATCTTGGTTCCATTTTTCCTTTGAAAGTGATAATGAAAATGATAACAGCAACTAATAGGCAAACTGTCAACTCAGACTTCAACATGGACGTTTCTAGGAGGGGTATAGGAGTTTAGCTTCAAAAGCACCCCAACTTTGACAAAGGTATCGGTTATGACTCATATCTTGACTGATTTTTTTTTTTTTCAAATAACTTCCAAGAAGGTAAAATGGAGGGAGGGGTTATCTTACGAGCCTGTGTGTAGTAGACTGAATAGGTTCTTTCTTTGCTTTTCAGATAAGTGATAGTGACCTACTTTACTGGAGGGAACTGGTCTCGAAATGCCTAGCAGATTATTCTTCTCCTGAATGTTGCAAGCCTGATCATAAAAAGCTAGTTTGGATTGTTTCAAGACGTACAGCCCAGAATCTACAAAACAGTTACTACAGTGTTCCTGAGTTGCCAACAATACCAGAGGGTGGATGTTTCAATGAAAGTGAGAGGTTGGTAGAACTTACACCAGGTGGTTAATTTGTTGGGAATTCTCATTTTTCTAGAAATGTTAAGGGGAACTCTGTATATCTAGGCTTATTTCACTAGTTGGAAAAAAAATACTAGCTTTGAAAATACTAATGGACTTTTTGAACACCATAATGACAGTTCCCATTTTTTTTTTTTTTAAATTCTGTTTAAGATATATTTTAAGTCCAAGTGCTTTGCAGGGTGGGGGGAGGTTGTTTTTGGTTTGGTTTGTTTTTTTTAAGGTAGGGTGGCTTATAAAGCCTTTAAGTCTTCTAAAATAATTTATATTTGATGTCTTGAATACTGGTTTCTTGGTTGGTAGGAGATTTTTGACATTAGAAGAAAGGAAATTGTACCTTGTTTTTAAGTTGTAGTACTGAGAAGCATTTAGATGGGATGTTATACTAGGAACCGAAAAGCATGCAAGAAAACACAGGCTTGGGGAGGACTTTGCCATTTTCAAGGGGATGTGCTTTGTTGAAATTACCTTTCCTACTGTTCCTTCTAGTGAAGACTCCTGCGAAGATATGAGCAGCGGAGAAGAGAGCCTTAGCAGTTCTCCTCCGAGTGATCTGGAAGGCGCCTTCTTCTTTGAACTCAAACCTAAAACGAAGTGGCAAACTCTTAGCTGTCGGTCTTAGCATTAAGTCTTGATTTTGTATTAGGCTGAGATTTTTAATGCACCAGAGTCCTTTGGCAATAATAAAGGAGGTGGTAATCTGTATACTGTATTAAGGCAAGAACTGCTGTGGTCTAGCAATGCTTTGAATGCCTGCCTTGGTTTTTCTGTTGTAATTTTAAGGAAGGAAAAAAAATCCCATTGAGGTCCCTAGTTCAGCAAAGAAGTTCATGTATAGTTCTGTTGTCAACAGGCATTAATGTAGTCCTGTACCTGGTGGTCCAAAGCGTTCAGCAGCTGAACACAGGAGCAGTGTGCCCTGGCAGCAGTGAAGGCTGATGGCACGCTAGGCTCTGTGAACAGAAGTGTAACCAATAGACTGAGCGAAGTAGGTTGTGTTGTTTTTTTTTTTTTTTTTCTGCCCTTTACTTGGCATTCCTTCTCGTTTTGGAACAGGGTCCAGCTTGGACTCAGGAGGTTGATCAACATGTGCGAGTCCAATGGGAAGCTGCCAGGACGGTTAAGTGATTTGGGACACAGGTCCTGTGAGGAGAGGCTAAGCAAAATGAATTTGTTCAGCCTGACACAGCGCCTGTGGGGGGAAAATGGGATTGAACAGCAGCCATCTAAGAGGAGGTTGCTGAAAGAGATGATAATTTCAGGGTCTTGACTGAAAAGCACGCAGGAAGAGTGAGAGGCTTTCATCAAAATGTCAAGTTCTTGGTTAATGGAAGAAGTTTGCTCTGTGGGGACCATCAGGCGTGGGAGCGGGCCAGGAGTGGGGCTGTGCGGTTTTTGTCCTGGGAGGTTCTTGGGATTCAACATGACAAAACCCTGGGCTTGGTTTGAATTCAGCGTTAACCCTGCTTTGAGCAAGGAAATTGGACTAGAGCCCTCTCGAGGGTACCTCTACTCTTTAGTATTTTGGGATTAGATCAAATTGGCAGAGCAGGTGACGTGGAATGATATGCATGCATAGTACCGGGCTGAAGTTATTTACTGTCAAATGGGCCAAACACCGAAACTGCTTTATAACACTTCGTGTGCTGTGCTCCTTTTCAGCAGGATCTTGAGTTGTGTATTCCAAGTAGTTCTTGTGTTTTTTTTTTTTTTCCTAAAGCTTGGTTTTTATAGACTTCAGGAATCCCTATGTCACAACAGGAGTATGCATGGCAAGAAGGAGGCTTCTACTTAATACTAGTTTTCACTAAAGGATAAGTAGGAAGCGTGTGGCAGGGAGTAATTTCATATTTTCTTTAATACAGATGTTTTTACACTGAAATTCACATTGTATACTTCAGTGGGTTTAAAATCTTAACATGTCAATCCATACTATTAGTTTAGACTTATTAACATGGTAAATCGTGGTAAGTCTACGTTCCTTTTAATATTTAACCCTTGTAGTTGTTTTTCAGTATATTCATGTTATTGAGTCATAATCAGACTTGTTTGCATGCTTATGTAAAGCAGTCAGTGCAGGAAAAGTTGATATTATGCAGTAATATCAGGTAAATGTGATGTTGATGAAGTAGTTAATGTTTTTTTTCTGAACTTTGTTATTGAAGCACAAATTGAAGTATGATTGTGTTTCTCCAATATTGAGAACATGGCTAGGTAGCAAGCGGAATAATTAGCTCAGATTAATGGTGTGAAGTGTGTTGGTGCCAAAGTAGAAATGAAGGAGCAAACAAGCTAAAGGCTGTTCTGTAGATGCAAGCATTGTTTTAGAATGGTAAGAGCGATGCCGTAAGTTCATAACTGTTATGTGATTTCAGTTTTATAAAAATAAAAAGTTTACAAAAATGTATATAAAAATGTAAATTAAAAAATGTACAGAAAAAAATTTAAAACAAAAAATGAACAGAAAATACTGTATTTTTTTACATTGTATGTAACTTTTTGTAGGTATGTTGCATGTAGATAGTAATTTATTGTGTACTCTGTATAAGTACTGTACATCTGAAGACTTCTTACTGCAAGTCTCTGTGCCTGGAAGCTCACTTCTGAAATGGAGTACTTTGGTCGCAGGTACCAAACCTACTGAGTCTTGTTTCGGTTCAAAAATAAACCAAGTGCTGTATTTGTTAACTGGTGTGAGTTACGGTTGGTTACTTGACGCTTTTGGCTTGCTCTTTTTTTTTTTTTTGGTGGTGTTATATTGCTTGTGTGGTACTGCAGCTGTCTTCCAGGTTCCCCAGAAGTTCTAGTAGGCAGTTTGCAAAGAAAAAAGAGACTTCTGCATGGCTTGCTACTGGATGTGAATCTCGTCTCAGCTTTGCTCCTGTCACTTGTAGGAGCTGGTGTTGGGGTATCCTCTGCTTCTCACCCAGCTGCAGCTGGGCTCTGTCCTGCTGGGGTGAGCGTTGGGAATGGTGTGTTTGCCCATCTGGCAAATCGGAGCTCCCACTACTGGTTCACTTAGGGGTTATTCTGGGCAAAGTGTTCGGGGTTTTGCTGGATTAGTGCTTGCTGCTTTTCCCAGTCTTCGGAGTGAAACCTGGTCTGGGGATGTGTCTGCATCTTGGCAATCCAAAACACTTACAGTAACTCATCAAAGGCAAACTTGAGCTGGTTTCCTTTTCGTCTCATCCTGCCAGAGTATTTCTAAGTGGCACCTATGTTGCAAAAATGAAGAAATAAAGGGCTGTAAGTGTTTCTCACTGGAAAGCTATACCCAGCCCTAGAAAACCTGAGAGAGCCAGGACCTGCCCTCAGCTGCCTGTGGAGGTGGCTGTAAGCATCATGATAGACCTGCTCGTTGTATCTTGCAGTAGCTTGATAGAGATCTTCCCCTTTGACCCTTTTTGGTTTGTGTGTGTGTTTGTTTTTTTTTTTTTTCCTCCCCTCATGCAAGGGATGGGAGTGAGAGAAGGTGTGAAGATGCTCCCTCTGCCAGGGAAGCCTGTGCAGCTCCGGCTGCTGCTGCGAAGGGAAATCTGCCTCGGGTGTTCCAGGGCTGGCAGCATGTGTGTGCTGGGAATGAATAGGGTGCTGAGGCTGCGGTGAGTGCTGTCACTCGCTGGCAGGGAGCATGTGTAGGAAGAGTAGGGCCACTGCTACTGTCAATCCCGAGTGTAATAACAATATTCTTTTTTTTTTTTTTTTTTTTTTTTTTTTACAGCCTTCATTGCTACTCTACTCTTTTTAAATGCAGGAACACACTACAAGGCTTCTTACTTCCCACGTATGACAGATGAGGGATGGACACAGAGTTCTGTATGCAATTCCCTTCTAACTGACATGTACCACCAAAAGTCAATTTTATAATGGAACTGTTCATCTTTGAAGCATGCACAGTAATGTTTTAAGAGCCATGGCTTCCTTGCTGTCTGTTGTGACCGCTTTGAACATGAAAGCTACTGCAGCAAAGATGTTCAGCTTCTACTTCAAAGGTGCCCACTCGGGTCGCTTGGGTACAGCAACCACCTCGCTCGGGAGTCGGCAGGTAGCGCGTGTGCTGTGTAGGTGGGCTGTTACAAAGGTAGGAAGCCATGGGCAATGTCCCTGGGTTTACTAACAGCTCGTGAGATGAGTATTGTTTAATAAAGCTTGAGGTGTAACATTCAGCCCCTTTCAAGTTTGTCCCAGCATGAAAAGAAATTTGCTTGCAAGAACATTGTCAGGTTTACATCTGTGGTTAGATAATTTAGGCTCAACTTTGATTTTTGCCGGGTCAGATAGCTGTGTATCCCTCAAAGGAGGTTTGCCTGGCTTTGTTCAAAGAATGGGACTTTTGGTGGTTGACTTGTTTTTAATAGCAGAGGTGTACATTATTTCTAAATGCTGTTTTGGGCTTGCTTGTACCACGAGGTGAAACTTGGAACACTTGCGGTCTCAAGAGTTTAAATACGGGCTCATTTTCCTAACTGCCTTGTCAGTAAGACTGGTTTGGGTGGGGGCTGAGAGGGAATGCTGCTGTGGGGAAGGCATCCCCTGGGACAGCCCCTAGCCCTATGGTTTCAGTGCGAGCTCTGGGATGTTCCTCCCCATGCCTTTGTGAGAGAGCACGTTGCCTAACCTATTTGAAGTGTGGAGCTGAAGGTTTGCATGGGTGTAAGATGAGCCCTGGTTTCTGAGAGGATCTCGAGATGTTATCATGCTGCTCACCTGCTCTGCTGGGGCTGAGCTGGGCTGCAAGGGATTGGTAGTGGAACCGCTTCTGTTTCTAGTGAATTCTCATTCCATAATTAAATAATGATAATGGCCTTTTAAACAGGAAACTTGACTTCTCTACCACTTGATTACTTAACAAGCGACATGAAGCAATAAAATCTTTCAGCGTAAATCAGTCAGTGTGTTCAGGCCCTGATCTTTAACAGCTCCCAGTTTTTTCTGGTGGAATAAGCAATATGTTTCTGTTGGCTCTGTGCTTGACTGTAGAGTGAAAGGCTGAACAGCAAAGGAAACAGTTGATCTGAAAGACGGTGCTGCCTGCACAATCTCACACCGTCTCTTCGCTTGCTTGTGAAGGCGCTGGAATACTGGGTGAATGCCTTGTTCCTGTGATACCAGTTAGCTATGGCAGCTTTGGAGCTCAGTGAAATGTGAATCAGCAGATATTGGGGCAAGACCAGAAACCAGCTTCTGTGCTTCCCAGTTCAGTGTACATTGCATAGGGCCCTCAACAAGGGAATACGCTGGTGCTTCCATCTCTGAATGATGTCGAACTCACAGCTGCTGTTTTCAGCTCTCCAAAAATCTTGATGCGTGTGAGACGGATGACTCAAAAGAGATTTTAAGGATGTGCTTCAAGGGACCAGCAAAATGTGCTTTGCTGACACACACGTTCAGAGAACAAGATCCATTTTGCTGTGCAGAAGTTAGTAGGTATGTTTACACATGAGCAGTAGTTTCATCATCACTGGGGAGAGACTGAGCAGGGGAGATAAATAGGAATGGATGTGTAACTACAGCTGAGCAAAGCCTGTGCCGGGTGTTGTTGCTTAACTGCATACCTTTTAAGCAGGAAAAGGCATGGTTTTAACTTCACGTCTCAACTGTCAGGTTTTAAGTTCTTGCTCTGAATTCCCGTTGTGTAAAAGCTTTTCTGGAAAAGGGTCAATATAGATGAGATAATGTCTAACATGTGCTGACAAAACTGCCATTACTAACTGGATTCTTCACAAAATGGCCACTGTTGTTGCTTAAGCAGAGTGCCAAGTTGTATAAACCAAGAATAGTTAGTGGTGGAGATAAGCATGGAAGTCATCAGTCAGTATAGCCGAGAGAAGCTGCATATAATAATAAAACGTTTAGGCAGCTCTAACTATGGCCACCGTCTACTGTGTGTCATATGAGCAGATAATCAGTATTATTTATCTTAAATGTTGCAACTGTGGTGTGTCGCATAGCCTTATTTCATGGCTTAAGCCTCTAACTGTCTAGTGTAGTGCATATGCCAACAGGAGAAAGTTGCCATAACAACTGAATGAAATCAATTAGAGTAATAAGCAATTAAAATCTCATCCTTAGTGTTGCATAAACATAGCATTTTGCTCATGAATTATTAGTAATCTTGCCTCTAGACCTGTATGTTCTGTTCCTGATTTGCAATCTCAACGAGTTTGGAATTAATGAAGTATTTCATTTCTCCTTCAAAGAGTGCTGGTGGGTTTTTTCTTTTTGGCTGCAGCACGTATGTCTTCATCGGAGAGATGGGAACACCATTAAAACATCTAAATGAAGGAGGCATTCGTGATGGGACTTCCAGAACGCTTGGTGCTGGCTTCATTCCCACCCAATGAAGTCAACGGGAGAGCTAGCCTATGGTCAGAAATTTTGTCCTGGACCTAGAAAGGCAAATGCAATTCCTTCTGTCACATGCTTCCTCCTTGACCTTCTATTTCTGAATCGCTTGCTTCCTTTGTTCCCCCTCAGTAGAACAAAGATAAGAATAGCTTCTTGCTGTAGTTCTCAGTTGTCAGGGATAAATCAGCTGAAAACAGAGAACTATGAAGCTGTTGTGGGGAGGTGGGATGTGTACGGGCCCCTGAGAAAGTAGGGCGTGCGTGCTTCGGTGGGAGCAGAGCTAGGCCACCTCTTTCTTCCCAGCATTTCAGTGTTCCTATATAAAGATGTGCCCGGTTGGGGATTTCCACTCAAATGTAACGTTGCCTTTGGTACCCTGGCAGGACTGCTGTTCTGACCGGTTGGTAACATCCTCCCCCTGGCCCCGTTGCTGTGGGAGGATGTACTCGGCGTTTTCCGTGCACGGATCCCCCCGTTTGCTGGGGAGGTCCTGTGCCGGGCCTTGAACAGCGCTGTGTGTGCGCCCGGAGCTTTGCCTGCTGCGCATTACAGGTGGATGCACGGACCAAGCTAAAGAGAGTTGCAGTCCTGCAAGTTACGCCAGGGTGGAAATGCAACATCTGTTTATTTTGCAAGGGCCGGCATGCTTACTTTCTGAGGATTTCATGTAGTTGTGGGTAAAATGTTTCAAAGGTTAGAGTTGCATTTATAATCCCAAATCTGCAAGGAACTTTGGAAAACATTACTGCGGTCTAAATAGCAGTCTCCTCACGTACAGTGACTGAGCCAGGGATCTAGAAAGCCTTTTTCATCCAGAGCTCAATTATTAACTATGCTAGGGAGCAAAAGGGCTCGAGGTGATCCCTGATTTTGGCTTGCTGTCCTGCCAAGATTACAGAAGCAAAGGCCGGTAGTCTAATGGTTTGTGCCACAGAGAATCAGAAGCTGGGTGCGGTTTACGTGCCAGCTCCTTGCCCAAGATGTTGGCATGGTGGCAGGCAAACAGGAGGGGGAAAGCTGCTCTGTGACAAAGAGCAGAGCAGCGCGTTCCTCCCTTTGCTGTACCGGGAGAGCAAAGGGACTCCGCAGGTCCCAGCCGGTGCCCTGTGCTCCTGCAGCAGCGCTGTGCTGTCCCCCACACCACACTGCAAGAAGCAATTTCAGTGGATTGCTCAGGAGGCCGAGCCCTCCTCCTCTTGGAATGCCGCTTGGCAAATTCAGCTGTGCCATCTTACCGGAGGCCCTGTCCAGTGCATCCAGAGGTCATCTGTCTGATTTTCCTGAGCTTTTATTGTTCCGTTAAAAGTAATCCTGCCACCTTGATCCTGGCTGGCGGTCGG